CATGTAAATGTATTTATTTCTTGGGATTACAATTTTTAAAAATAGTAATCCAAAAATTAGACTTGTATCTCTGATGATATTCAATGTATAATTACGTTTAAAGATTACCTAGACTATTTTTTTCCCTTAGTAAAACCTTGCAACATTGTCCGTTTCCTGCTATTAGTCCGACCCCATATTCAATCATGGCGGTAAAAATAACAACATGGCATGGATTCCATGGATTCCTTCGATGTTTTAAACATTCATCACTACTTTATGCTCCTTGCAGTTGGGTTTGGAAATAAAATTATAGAGTATTTTGTCAATATCTATTTATACCAAAATGTCATTGGCTGATTGAATCGGCAGTTGCAGAAAGTAGAGAAAAACAATCAGATCTGAACGGAGGAAAAATTATGACTGGCCTTTACATACAGAAGATAATCGGCCATTGTGTCTGTTCAATGTCAAACTTATAGGCCAACATGGCAGGTAAACTTTTATTGGCAAATGGCCGACGCCAATCTGAAACCCTGCCTTTTAATGACGTTTTTAACGCCACTTTATAGTAAAATCTACTCTATTATACAAATCGGAACCGAACCGAATTCCAGAAAAACGGAACCGTACCCGACCCGAATTAATTGTTCCGCGGTTCCGGGTCATTTCGGGTACCCGTGACAGCCCTAATTGCCAACTCAGCCTTAATATGTTTGGGTCGGTAGGTACTAGGGGAAATATTTTTTTTTATAATTTCAGAAATGTTTTTATTTTTCAGGCTTCATGGGTTTCCGATTGTTTAGCAACAACTGCAGTCTGAATTAATTTCAAGTTGTTATTTATTTTCAAACCCTATTAGTTTTAAACCTTTAATATACATGGTACAAAAAATCGTCGATATTGAATTGGCATAAAATTGTTTTCACATGCACGAATCCAAGCATGGCCACTAGATTCATCTAGCAAATCGGATAGGACATTGTACCTTGAAATTTCTAATTCAAACTGTTATAACTGATTTGTCAGTATTATAATACCACTACACACATTACCTCAGAAAGTCAGCCATCAACTTCTGTTATACAGAGTTTCCAGCTTTCGACAATTATACAACTTCTGTTATACAGAGTTTACCGCTTTCGACAGTAATGCTTGGATTTGTCAATTGTGATACAAATATTCAACATTACATAGATGCTTTTAAACGAAAACTGTTTGATCAATCAAGCGTTTACGATTCTTTCCCATTTTGTATATAGTGGCTTCCACTTAATCGGATAGTGGTTAAACGAATATTTCGGCTATTTCAATATAATATCAGAGCAAAAAACCATTCCTTATATATTTATTAATAATTTCACCTGATATTCTGATAAGAAAATATCAGAATTTTGTTTTACCTGATATAAAAATTTGACCATCGTAGTATATTTTGATAATTATGACCTTGTTCACACCTCTAACTTCCCTAGTGAAGCCTTTGTTTACACTGTCTGACACCTTGAGTACGATAATGAGGGGATTAGTTACGGCTGAACGCACGCAGTCACCTTACCTGTGTTAATAATTGGCACACTAGATTGATATGTTTTGATACAGTTATGATGATCAGCTTGGGTTTAAATTACTTTACAGTGATGTACTCAATAATTATGATAATTGTCTGCAATTTTTTCCAAAGTTAGATTTTAATTAATGAACGTATTAGCTTGTGTATGACAATTTGCTGGGACATTGAAATGCATTATAGTTACAGGACTATTGACTTGAGAATTGTCACAAATAGTATGAAATACAAAACCATATTAAAGAAACAAATAAAACAACACAATTTAATATTTTTGTTTAATATTACGGTACCATTTATCCGGGGAAAAATAAATTACGGAATAAAGTCAGGCATTTAGTCTACTTTCGTTTCCACAATGGCGGCCATCGAAGAAGTAATGTAAACATGTGCTGATTAAAGATGGCAATAACTATTACAAAACAATTTTTATAAGTCATTTTATTAGAAAAATGTTATCACATTAAATTAATAAGTAAGTTTAACATTTTAATTTAGGAGAATCGCCAGGTTAAGTAATCAAACGAAACGAAAGTGCAAGTTTGAAATTTGCTACGATGTATTGTCAATACATATAGCTCTATACATCTTTGTTTGGACTTGATATGGAGCAATCGGCTATTCCAATATTCGGCTATACTGATAACAGAAGGCTGACAATTTACTATTGGATTAAGCGGGATCCACTGTATAACTCAAACGTACAAACACCTAAATCCGGATATATAGAACGAATAAAAAATTTCAGTCTGTATCAGCTGAAAAAAATTCTATGGATCGCACCGATTTACCTTAGTCGGCCGGCAACGCCAAACAAAGCTAATTTTATTTTTGGCTCAGTATTCCTGATCTTATCTATCCAACACAGTTTTCCCTCGATTTTTAATCAGATTGCAAGACTTTTCTGTACATCCAAAAACATGCAAATTATCAACTAAAATGACTACATAATCATTTGACTACCTACCCTCCTTAGCTGCAAGTGGTCTCCTGACAACGTACTGGCGGACGTCGTCTTCCTTGGACAGGTTGAACAGCTTTCTGATTTTGCTGGCTCTCTTGGGTCCCAGTCGACGGGGGATTGTGTTGTCTGTAAGACCTGGGATCTCCTTCTCTCCTGGATACAATGAAAAAAACTTTCCTTTAGTGTATAGGGTAGGAAAATTTCAGCTCATTTTGACAACATAAAGTCATTTATTACAGCTAAAAGGCTTTCTGACAGCAATTTGCAGTATCTCAGAATAAAAACTCTCGTCAAAATTTTTAATTCAGAGAGATGGGTTTAGAATTGCTTATACATCATAGACACCACAAATTGCAGGTAAAAATGTAAATTGTTGTAACATATATCATAAAATGTTTATGTATGTCTTGAGCTGTACTTAATGCCATACAAAATGGATGTTATTGAGATTTGTTGGTTACATACGTTTCTACTAAGTTTATTGACTGGATTTTGCTGCAGAACTGCTTAAGAAAATTCAGACATAGCAGGGAGTTACAGATCCAGTTGTTATACTCCAAATGAATGACAAAAAGCACAGGCGTAAATCAAAAGTTTTTACAATGCTTGTATCTGTCGGTCTCGGCTTTAGCTGTCTGAATTTTTTCAAGAGAGCTTCAGTTCTGCAGCTAGCCTGGATGGTGCAAGCGTTTGCTTTAGAGTTGGGATGTAAGGAGTTCATCTTTAAGTCATGGGTTTGAATCCCACTGTGGGAAGTCCTTTGAATGAAACTGTTGTTCAGTATTTGCAGTATGTGTTGGCAAGAAAAAGATCCTTAACTGCTCAGTGGCATTAAGTGTTGAGTATAGTTCTATAACTTGCAGCCCTCCACTTGTAAGTGGAGGTGTCTCAATAGGAGTGAAAATTCTTGAAAGGGATGTTAACCAAGTTCAAATTGACATAACCAAGACATGATCCAAATTTCAACGGTGATGATTAGAAAAGAACAGGGGCAAATTATTAGTTAACAAGTCATCAACAGTTTGTGGCATTTCAGAAAAATACTCTCGTCAAAATCTTAATAGATTCAGAGAGTTGGGTTTAGATTTGTTATTACATCATAAATACCACAGACTAACGAACTGCTGCCAAAGCATGAATCAAAATTTACACTTCCTACATCTGATTATCATTTTTCTAAATTTTGCAATCAGTTTCATTTATAAGTTAAGGCATTTTGATTTTCTAAATTTGTCAAACCTTTTTTCACAATGACCATGGCCAATACACTGAGATTGGAGTCCACAATGCATCCTCTGACAGACTTCCTGCGTCGTTCTCCGTCACGCCTGGGGCGGAAGCAGGAGTGCCCTTTGCTCAGAAGGAGTCTCACTCGAACATTGGTGAGAATTCCCTGTTTCATGGGAAATCCTTGTTTGTCGTTTCCTCCAGCAATTCTCAGGACATACCCCTGCAAACCACATAACACACAGTTAAGAAATCCAACTTTTATAAGAATTAACATTAGACTTTAAACCTGAAATAAATATCAATTTCAGATCAATCATTTTAAAGCAGTAATTTCACAAACTTTGAATTTAGAATTGATCTGTTTATGTCTGAACCAACCTTCCACTCATCACCAAGACTGTCAGCTGGCACTTCAGAAGCCATTCTCTTTTCATAGAAAGGTCGTAATTTCTTTTCATCATCAACTTCGATGAGTTTTTGACAGCCAGTGGCTGGATATGAGATGTTGAGCTAAAACAAGATAAACTCGCATCATTGAGAGAAAGGGTATCACTCACACACGTACATACAGTACGTCTTTAAGACTCAAACTGGATTAATAAACAATTCTTTATTATTATTTATAGATCCATCAATCCTTCAGATTTCTTTGGTGACGTGAAGTTGACTAAACTCATGAGTATTGGCAAGTATGACAGTGACTGTCTCATTATAAAACTTGAGTAAAAAATTAAAAAAATAATGTTTTAATCTTCCATTAACGCTGCCAAAGTCTAATTGTGTTATTTATTCATTTGTCTGTGAAGTAGTGTAAAACAACTACTCCATAGAACGCTAAAATTACAGTCAACATGTGGGGCTGCAGTGAAAGAATCTATCAACATCGAAGATTTTTGCCTTCACAGCAACTCAATATGGTCATTATGTATAGTACGATTTATTGAAATATCTCACAGATGTAATTATTTGATGTATTGTTGGCCGATAGAGACTTATTCTGCATTTTTATCTACCTTCATGTCTGATCTTTGCGATCAGTTCGCCTCAACCGGAAGAAAAGAAAGTTATCGTTCTTGTTTGACGGGTCCTTTACTCTCAAAAATTAACAACTTGTGAATATACTGTAATTTGTTTTTTAAATTGTTTCTAATGATTCAAATTTTTGTTTTGGATTAGATAAATTCCAAAAATTTTATTTAAAAAGTTGTTCGACAATAGTTGTGTTTATATTTTTTTTTTGTTTCGAGGCTACAATGGAGCGCGGGAAGTGTCAACACATTTCAGAATTTCCTCTATAGTTTAAATTTACACCTACCTAAAATCTACCGATTAATTCATTACTGTTGCATTTTAACCAAATGTTACTCAGTAGGCCTTTGACTTGTAATGGCACTCGCGTTTAAAAAGCTTTTAGCTGTTGAATAATGCCGAACATTCTATTTGATGAAGGATATTGGACGCATGGGCTCAGGCGCTGTAACTACGCATCATTTCCAGACTGGGATTCTTAGATTTGTTTTACAAAATGTGATGTTTATGGCCATTGATTAAACTGAAGGTAAGGAAAATAGCTTTTATTCTCTAAAATATACTGATAGACTGGCGATTTACGTTTGGTTCAGACTGGAAAGCTATGTATACATAAACAAAGTTAAAACATTATTGTTTTTATAACACAGATTTGAAGACAGATGGAGGTGGACGATTCTGATTCAGCAAGTATAGAGTATGAATTTGAGACACAGCCAGGAAGTGTTGGTTTTATGGTACTGGACTCGCAGTCGGAGCCTCAGGCCAAGAATACAGAAGAGGGTGACGTGATGCAGATGTGGCCTGCCCTGCAGCCAAGAGAACAGAAAGTAGGAACTACATGTATCAAGCTCAACTAGAGTAAACTAAATGACACTGAAAAAAATATTCTTGTTTTCACAATAGTGATGAAAAAAAATTAATCAAAGGTAAAGGCCAGTGTACATTCTTAAAGTGTAAAAGACAAGATCTAGATTCTGGGAAACAGGTGTAGTAATTAGCCCCTTCATGATAACTGTGGTACTACACTTTTGCAGGGCAAAATGATAACAGATAATTAAATGAAGTACATGAAACAATTACTTATATTTCACCAAACTTTATCATTTTGCCCTGAAAAAGAGCAGTACTGCAGTTACCCTGAACCAGTCTATAGGGATATACATATAAATAATAATTATGTAAGTATAAATATGTTACCAAAGCTCAATTTACAATATTGAATTTTTAGGAAAAAATGATAATATCTCAAAGTAAACATCTGGTATATAAAGTTTGTAAAAATCATGCTTCATTTAATTCAACCTGCCATTATCAATTTTTGAACTAATCTTTGATTCTTAACTCATTTTAAGTCATAACTAGAATCTATACAAATTCCTCTTCATATCATTTTTTACTTCAATAAGGACTTGATTTCTCAATTTTCTTGTTTAACTGTCAGGAGGAGGATGTAAAGACTTCAAGAAAATGTATAACCTCTGTAATGGACACATCTGGTGATGAGCAAAAACCAACAGGTATATATATGAAACATGGCTTTTCAACAAGTATCAGGCAAATTAGATTGTAAATCATCTTTTTAAGATAATATCAGTGATGATGAAGAAATATATTCATATTTCAGAAGCTCCACAGATTTTAGCAACTGAGACAGAATTAAGTGAGTCTGAGCTGGAAAATGAAGTCACCGTGATTGAGAAACCAGAAAAGGCAGACAGTCAAAAGCAAACAAGTAATGAAAAGTAAGAGTGGATTTTCTTTTCATGGAAAATGAACAAACATAAAGTTTAAATTGCAATGATAATGCAGCAATTTGTTCAGAAGAGAATTTATATCAGGGTATCACAAAATTTACTCTTTTCTAGATAGATACAACAATTTGTTCAGAAAAGAATTATTTTTATCAGAGTATTGTAACATTTAATTTTCTGTTTTACTAGGCCCTCAGCATTGTTTAGGTCCATGTCTCCACAGGATATGTTTGAAGGTATGTGTGATTGATATTTACATTTACTAATATCTTGTGTGCATTATCTCTTACACTTCAACATTGTTCACGGAATATATTCTATCACACACACAATGTGGCTTCATGAAGCAAATGCAGCAGAATTGGAATTTTTATGAGGATAAAACTTGGTAGTTTTATGATCTAAAATTAGGGCTGCCACGATTAACCGAAATATCGGTTAACCGCGATTCACAATTTTTCAGTTTGATTCGGTACGTTTTTCCGGGATTTCAATTCGATTCAGGTTTGATTTTTTCATACTAACATTTGCTGTTGTTACGCGTATTCCGATTGGTTAATCGGAGAAATGATGGCAAATCATGTTAAAGTAAACAAAAACATGAAAATGGCCGCGAAGAAGTCTACGGTATACTTCAAGTTCCATGTTCAACAGAAAGATGGCATAAGGATAAATAGATTTACTAAACGGCAACACCCATCAGCCACGTAATTCTGAATTTAGAGGAACCGACACAGTGCTGCGAATTTCCTTATTTCTTTTTAATACTGAGATTGTTTTGAATGTGAAATAATTATTGACGTTCTTGTTATGACAGTTATGTGGTTACGTGGTTTGATATGGTATTGGTGAATCAAAAATTTAAAATCACAGCAGGGATCTTACCGTTTCTTTTGTGGCCAAACAGCCTTCATAAGCATATCACCAATACCTTTATGTTCAGCATAATAATTAATATGAAATCATTGGGTTTTGTTTGAAAGATTTGTTCGCATGTTTCATCTTTCAAAACCAATGACCAATATTTTTATTAATTTGGATTTCCGACATTTGATTCTTGGATCATACTTTGTAATTAGAACATTAGGTATTTTCTTTGTTGTTGTTTTTTTTTTTTGGCTTTACATCTATTTTATCCTAATAAACCTTAGAATAATCATTATTTATTAAAGAAAGTTTTATGATTATGATGATCAAAGATTACAGATTTTATACAAAAAATAAAAAAAGATCTTTTTCTTATAATCGAACCGAAATTCGAAAATCGAGGTTTTTGTTTGAACTGAATCGATTCGAAAATTTTCTGATTCGTGGCAGCCCTATCTAAAACCTACTTGTTAAAAAGTAACTCTGGTTGTAGATGAGGAGAGAGAAGTGTGTACACCAGCAGGGTTTGTGGGGTCTCTACATTTGTCTAATCAGGCCATGCTGGTCCCCGAAACTACGGAGTCTGACCCCTTCCCCTCCACCCCAGAAGAATTTGCCGATCTTCCAAGAATTATACCTAGCTCACCCACAGATGGATCTTTTAAAGGTAAGGAAACAAGGTGTTATATATTGACATTCCTTTTAGAGTTTGAGAATTTTTCAAGTGTTTTGGGGTCATACATGTAGATACACATTCAAACACAGAATAAACTTGTACATTCACAGTTTAATTCTCAAATACAATGTGCATATAGTGGGGAAAATTTGTATATCAAGATTTTTTTTACCAAATACTCAACACTATGCATGCATTACTGATACAACCCTATGGAACGCCGTCACTGCCTTATAGCAGAACACAACAATTGCATTGCGTCATCCTTCCATTACATTAAGTCAACACTTTATGACATTTACTCACACTGCTATTGCATTGTGTCAACCTTCCATTACATTATGTCAACTCTTTATGATATTTACTCAACCTACTATTGTATTGTGTCAACCTTTCATTACATTATGTCAACTCTTTATGATATAAACCCACAATACTTTTGCATTATGTCAACATTTCATTACATTATGTCAACTCTTTATGACATTAACCCACAATACTATTGCATTATGCCAACCTTCCATTATATTATGTCAACTCTTTATGACATTAGTCCACACTACCATTGCATTGTGTCAATCTTTCATTACATTATTTCAACTCTTTATGACATTAACCCACAATACTATTGCATTACGTCAACCTTCCATTATATTATGTAAACTCTTTATGACATTAGTCCACACTACTATTGCATTGTGTCAATCTTTCATTACATTATGTCAACTCTTTATGACATTTACACACAGTACTATTGCGTTATGTCAACTTTCCATTACATTATGTTTAGTCTTTATGGCATTAATCGCACTTTAATTACATTGCGCCAATCTTCCATTGCATTATATCAGCTCTTTATGCATGACATTAAGTCAAAACAATTTTACGTGGTGTAAAGATGTTTTTATATATTTTCAACTCATTATTACATTATGTGCACTCTCTACTATTTGGTCTAAGTAGTTCATTACATGATGTGAATTTATCTTTAATTCAATATCAAGTCGATATAACACGATGTCAGAATTTCATTACATGATCTGAACAAACTGTCACATGTGGCCAATTCTTTACTACATTGTGTCATCAATATGCTACAGGACGATGGGAATCTATTACATGATGTCAATTTTTCCTAACTTTTTGACAAATCATTATTATGTTATGCCATTGTATCTTTACAGTGTGTCTAAAATGGTTAGCCTCTTGTCAGTATATCTTAGAATATTTCAACTCTTTATTGTGTGACGTAAGGTTTAGGTTATGCCTAAAAGTTCGTTTTGTGTTTTCAATATTACATGCACATATGTTAAACATGCAAATAATTTAAATTAAATATATCAAATATTAAATTATACACAAAATTTAATTTATTCTTAATTAAATATCAGGTTAAAATTTATAAATAGGATCATGTTCCCGTGGAATCTTTATTGACGATTGTTTTTTTTTAACGTCGAAATTCAATGGCCGTTTAATATCATAATTATCGCAAATCAAATAGTATGTGTAATGCAGCAATTTTTTTTTTCATTTTATTTTGAAAAGTCCGAAACTTCTGATCTAACTACAAAACACGGTGTCAAGCTTTTTTTTTTTTTTTTTTTTTTTCTTTTTCTTTTTTTCTTTTTTTTTAAGTGTAAACGCATCGCATTTCATACGTGCGCCGATGTGTGGGTGGGGAGAGAGGGGATCCCTCCCTCTCATCTTTAGTGACCAAAATATGCATGAAATTAATCAATTGGTTTAACTTTGTAGGACATTGCATTAGTTTCACATAAAGTATAACTGAAAGAAGTTGAAACGTTTTATATAAAAAAAAACAACACTAAAGCCTGAGAGCTTCCAGGCTTTCACCCCCTGGTCCCCAACTTAGACACCATTCCGTCCCTGTATAGCTACTCTTTTCAAGAACCAGTGAGGGACTGGTAGAATTTTGTAACAGAATACTGGACCTGGAATGGTTGAAAAATGACTAGTTCCAATGACGTTGCATCGTTTTTGAAAGTTGGGGGAGGTTTGTCAGCCAGGAAAAAAATAACGTCCAAACTCAAAAATCCTATTTGGGTGAAGGGGGGGGGGGGGTCCAACTTCGATCAGTCCTAAAAAAAATTCCCTTATACTTCAGCAAAAAGTGGGGCGGAATTTCAAACCCCTACAATGAACATTTTCTATGATAAAGTTAAGTCGGATAAAAGAGGAAGCCAGACCCCCCCCCCCTCCCCTAATATAATGTGTCTCTAATTCGTCCTAATTAATCAGAACATCCCCCCCCCTTCCCCGTCGTGAAAACACGGTTATCAACTTTGACATAATGTAAATGTATTTTACAGCACGTAATGAACATTTGAATCAACATGATAAAGATTTAACACAATATAAAGATATTCTTAAATCATATAAGAAAGATTCGACATAACGTAATTATATATCCACATCACGGAATGGAGTTTTGACATAATGTAATGAAGTGTTGATATAATATGGAACGCCGGGACTGTCTCCATAATATATGTTCATATTATGTTATAAACCTTTTTACATCACGTAATAAAGCACTGACATAAAGGTAAGATGTTTTCACCTAACATTGTGATGACCTCGGCGTAAAATAAAGATACATTTACATCACGTAATAATGCTTTGTTATTATAGAAATATACACTCACAAAAGGGAATGAACTTTGACTTAACGTAATGATAAATTTAATCATGGAACACATGTAAAACGAAATTAACTTGACGTAATGCAATTTTGACCTCGCATATTAAAGAAATGAAATAATATAAAGATACATTCATTTCACGTAATAAAGTTTTAACACAATGTAAGCATATTTTCACTTCACATAATGAACTTTGGACTTCAAGTTATAAAGTGCTGACATAATGGAAGAATGTGTTCACTTCATGTAATGCAGCATTGACATGATGTAAAGATATTTTTACAACACACCAAAAATTATTGACATAACGTAAAGATATGTTCACATCACGTAATGAAAGATTGACATAATGAATGCATAGTTTTATGCTATAAGGCAGTGATGGCGTTCCATACAACCCCCCAAAAAATATATGTTTATTTTTTTTCATTGCTTTTGCAAATTATAAATGAAGCTCAAAATTTAATTTGCAAAACCACACAGCCATCTTTATTGTTTTTGAGACCTTCACTTGCATATTTCAGTCCAATCTATTGAAGTTAGACAGAAGTCTTACTTTTAAAGTTGTCAATTATTTTACATGACCATATTGAGATTTTGTTACAAATACAAAACTTTTTTTTTTCACTAGATGACTCTATAGATAACCCAGCTCACTACGACCCACAACAAGACTCCACGCTGGCAGAAGATGTCACCGTCCTGCAGGTAACATTACAGGGTTTATTGGTATACATAATACTGAATGTTAGTGAATTGGGTTTTATAATTGAACTGGAATGTAATGCTATTTTATCATTCCTATACTTTCGTTTTAAAGAGAACAAAGACTGATAAACCTGGTGAACCAGAGAAGAAGACTCCAAGTTCCTCTGAGGAGAAAGAGGAAGAGGAGAAACAGACATCCAAGTCAGAGGTTAATAATGGCAAATTAATACTGTAGAAAGTCTGTTTTCTGGATGGTATTATTTAATGCTTTGTGAACAGTCACAAGTTTTCTGCGGAATTTGCACCATAGTCATTTTTAGCTCACCTCAACGAAGTTGGGGGAGCTTATGTAATACCCTCGGCGTCGGCGTCGGTGTCGGTGTCGGTGTCGGCGTCGGTGTCGGCGTCGGCGTCCCGGGTTAAGGTTAAGTTTTTTGGAGCAGTTTTCTTTTTAAGTACTTCTATGTCCTATATTGAGTAGACATGCATGGAAGATGGTTCTAGTGTGTTTCATTGTACCAGTCAAAGTTTCAGATGCTGCAATTTTAGCAAAGGAATGACCAGGTTAATGTTTTTGGAGCAGGTTAACATTTTTGGTGCAGTTTTTGGTGTAGGTTTCATTTCCAAGTAGCTATAAGCCCTATGTTAACCAAACTTGCATGGATGATACATCTAAGGATGCATACTACCGGGCTTGCTTCGGATGCTGAATCTGACCTACTTTTTCCGGTTGAGTGAACAGGTTAAAGTTTTTTGGTGCAGGTTTCATTTCCAAGTATCTGTAAGTCCTATGTTGACCAAACTTGCATGGATGATACATCTAAGGATGGATACAACCAGGCTTGCTTCGAATGCTGAATCTGACCTACATTTTCCGGTTGAGTGAACAGGTTAAAGTTTTCGGTGCAGGTTTCATTTCCAAGTATCTGTAAGTCCTATGTTGACCAAACTTGCATGGATGATACATCTAAGGCTGGATACTACCAGGCTTGCTTCGGATGCTGAATCTGACCTACATTTTCCGGTTGAGTGAACAGGTTAAAGTTTTTGGTGCAGGTTTCATTTCCAAGTAACTATAAGCCCTATGTTGACCAAACTTGCATGGATGATACATCTGAGGATGGATACTACCGGGCTTGCTTCGGATGCTGAATCTGACCTACATTTTCCAGTTGAGTGAACAGGTTAAAGTGTTTGGAGCAGGTTTCATTTGCAAGTAACTTTAAGCCCTATGTTGACCAAACTTGCATGGATGATAAATCTAAGGATGCACACTACCGGGCTTTGGATGCTGAATCTGACCTACATTTTCCGGTTGAGTGAAAAGTAAAAGTTTTTGGTGCAGGTTTCATTTCCAGGTAACTATGAGTTCTTTAATGACCAATCTTGCATGGATGATACATCTTAGGATGCATACTACCAGGCTTGCTTCGGATGCTGAATCTGACCTACATTTTGTGGATGAGTGAAAATGTTAGTTTTTGATGTATGTTTCATTTCCAATTAACTATGAGCCTTATAATGTGCAAACTTGCATGGACGATACATCTTAGGATGCACACTAATGGACTTGCTTCGGATGCTGAATTCGACATACATTTTTTGTTAATAGACCAGGTTAAAGTTATGGTTGCAGGTCTATTACCAAAAAACTTTAAGGCTTTTATAACATTGTATAAACCAAACGTGCACAAATGTTGCATCAAGAGATGAAAACTCAAATTTGCTTTAGATGCTGAATTACATTTTCATGAAGAACTACTTTAAATTTTTTATGTTGGTCTACTTCAAAGTATCAGATCAAAATTGCTTAGATATTTTCATTTTTGGAATGTACATTTTTTGTTGGTTAATTGTGTGACTTTGCCTTATTTAAAGACAACATTCGTTGAGGTGAGCTCTGTAATCTCTGATTACCTATGTTTGTACATTAGAGTCATATAGTGATGATTGAAGAAAATTGCATAATTTTCAACCCCAGGATTGAAAAAACATTGTCATTCCATGGAATTGATATTTCTTGGAAAAAATTTAATTTGCAGTCAGTATGCCCAAATATTTTATAACTTAACAAGCTTATGTTAAAGTTTTGTCCAATAGGGAATTTGTTCGGTAGTTTGTTTTCTTCTTAAATGATAGTTTATTCATGTGTTTATATATAAATGGTGCCTGTTTTGGAGGGTAACAGTTGAAATTGACACCCCAAGGAAAACCATTGTCAACCGACGTGTCAGCGGAGGTTGACAATGGTTTTCCGAGGGTTGTCAATTTCAATTATTATACTTCTGTTAAAATCTTTCCGATATAAAGTTCAGAAGGTAAACTAACTATCTTTTATAGTCCACGCATAGCAAAGCTATACCCCGGGGTATAGTTTTTGCTATCCACCCTCGGAAAATTTTTATGCAATTTTTGCTGCCAATTTTGATTTCCAGCGATAAATCTATAGATTGATGATGTCATAATGACTCCAATAGCATTGTGACGTCATCAGAATTTCAGATTATTCTTGAAGTATTATCTAACTCCAAAAAATTCAAACCTTAGAAATGATATTATACATCAGTATAATAAAACGCTTATTCACTGGTTTTGAGTGGGATAGCTCTTTTATCAAACCCTTGACAGGAACTATTCCCCTCGGGCAAGCCCTCGGGGAATATTTCCCTGTCGCGGGTTTGATAAAAGTGATAAAAGAGCTATCCCACTCACAACCATTGGATAAGTGTATACTGTTACCTTCCAAAACAGGCACCATTTATTTTATTATACTGAATGTCTTCTTAAATTAAGTCAGCAAAAAAAAAATCATCGATCATCTTTACGTTCAGGTTTAGAAAGCTTTCAAACTCCTCACTACTTCTAAAAAGATTTACTGACCTTTTTATCTTTTATCATATAAAGTTTCGTTATTTCTGCACTCGCAAGCATGTTTCGTCTGTCGTTTGATGTTTTCAAGTAAGCTACATCGGACGCAAGCTTTCATTGACGTCAAGTTTATTCCAGTTCTTTCAAACGCGCAACTGACGTTTTGAGAATTCTACGGTGAACCGTACGCGCATAATATCCACGCATGTGGCATAACCGTTGTGTTACCCGTTGTCACATGCATTGCTAAGGCTGAGGGTAATAGAACGGATTGTTAACTGCGTCTAAACCAATCAGATTTTAGTATTTAACATGAAAGTATAATAATGACTTTTATTCCAGTCCTTAGAGTATAATCCAAAGGGGGTGTCTACATTGGCTGGGAATTCAGATGACCAATCCCTACACCTACACTACTCTGAAACCCAGAAGTCATCACAAGCACAGGTAAACTCTAAGACAGCCATTCAGTATGCATCTTAAGAGGAATTCACCAATATTGCTAAGATTATTCATTGATAAATGGAATGGACCAAATAAGTGTTGCCACCATTGACAAAAGCAGGTCTTAAAACAATTAATTCTTTTAATATTGCTGATCTAATTTAAGTTTGCATCATCAGTAATTTTAAAACATTGCATCATCAATATAAAAAGAGCCTTATTCAAAGCACATTCATTTAATTACTCACTGACAAAAAAATACTCGAAATATAAACAAATTTATTATGAACGGTGATGAACTGAATCAAAAACTTCTTTTCAGAAACACCCAGTTGATTCAGTAGAGGTTGTTGGAACTGAGTACATGGATGTCATTTCTATCCACAGCACCGATCCTACTGGTAAATATATGTCAAAATGAAAAACAAATATATTTATTGAAACTACTTATGCATGAATTATCCAGCCTCTAAACCTTCAAAACAAGCGCTGTTTACATGTAACAAAAAAAATAACAAATAAAAAAAGCAATTTGAGATGTGTACTGTAGATTGTTGAACAATGTCTTAATGATTTCCTAGAGATGGACCAAGTCCCAGAATCTCAAGAGTTGTCACTGAGATTGACTCCATCACAGAGTGACAAGTCGGGCAAAGAAACAGATGTGGAGGTCGTCCCTGATAAAAACAGAACAAGGCTACCACTGGTCAAAAGTCAAGATCTAGTCACAGGTTTGTATGATAAATCTGACAGAAAAACAAATATTTAATAGGAGTTGTGTACTAAAACTCATCTCAATAAGAAAATTCATTCAGTATGTATTACTAAGATTTTTGTGCAGGTTAGACCTTATATTGCGTCTGATGTAATTAAAAAAAAAACATAGTTATTTGAATCTTTTTGACTGTAAATATTTTATTTATAATCCCTTAAGTGAGATGTAATTACTGTAGATCACTATTTTCGCGACACCTTATTTTCGCGAGATAGTCATTGATTCTTTATAAGCGAGACAAAATTTTCACGAATTGTGGTCATTGCTCTATATAATCCTAAGGAATACTATTATACGCGAGAAATAAATTTTCGCGAGCACACTGTCTCGCGTAATTACGCGAAAATAAAGTTCTCGCGAATAAAAAGTGATTTACAGTACATATTCATTAAACATTTATGTTTTTATCACCCATACAAATGTTTGGGTCTGCTTTAAAACATCTTCTCTATCTTCATGTACATACATGTGTATAATGTGTATATTTTTGTTGCAGAAAAGCAGACCACAATGCAAAGGAAACAGGCCTGCCTTTCCCAGCCAACCAAACTGGACAGAAACATGGAAGTAGATTTGAGCAGACTTAGGAAATTAGCTACGGAGGCTAAAAGCAAAGAAGTGGATGTTACATTGGCTTCTGAATCAGGTGAAAGTCCCAACAGTGTCATTTTGAAAAGATTTTATTCATTTTGTTCTTCATATCTGTTATAACTTAATATTAATAAGGAAGTAAGTGACAATTTTGTATTGCAGAAAACTTTGCATTGTCATTGCCAAAAGATGGGGAGCTTTTACATCCCAAAATGTCAAATGGAAAATTGTCCAGATCTGGAGTTCAAAATGAAGCAAATCAGAGAACCAGTCAAGAAGCAAGACCTAATCGCTACATTCTGGATAGTCTAGAGCAGGGACCCAGTCAAAAAGCAGGGCCGAGTCATTACATTCCTGATAGTCCAGAGCAGGAAACCAGTCATCATCGTGTAGAGTAAGTTATAAAATATAACAATTTGTTATTATATTTTTTGGCCTAAAAGTTGAACTTTGGCATTTCAAATCAGTTCGAATATGCTGAATATCATGGACATGTTATTGTTATTGTTAAATATAAAGTTCATACTTGTTTAGATTTGAAAGCTCTGTGATCATAAAGTTTTTTTTGTCAGCCCTGCTGAGTTAGACACATAATGCATAAAGTAATTTCTCTGTAAATGTTGACTGCATCTTGTTTTAGCCCTAGTCTAGAGAACACACCACCTGCAATACCTGTGTCAGTGGAATCTCAGTCCCAGGTGTCCAGTCATAGCTTTATGCTGCTGCAGCCAGACGTACAGAACATAACAATCCGGGACTCTGAGGAGACTCAGAAGAATGTCTTCAAAAGTGTAAAAGGGAGAGATTCTCCAAGGAAAAGACTGATTCAAGAGGACAGGTAAGCAGACTTGTACAGGTCCTTGTTTCCATCTGGTGCCCTTTTAATGGCATCATTTTATCAAAATTTTGATCATCTTGCTGTCTTTTTAGCTCACCTGAGCCGAAGGCTCAAGTGAGCTTTTCTGATCAAAATTTGTTTGTGTCTGTCGTTGTCGTAGTCGTTGTCGTCGTAAACTTTTCACATTTTCATCTTCTTCTCAAGAACCACTGGGCCAATTTCAACCAAACTTGGCACAATGTATCCTTGGGTGAAGGGGATTCAAGTTTGTTCAAATGAAGGGCCACGCCCTTTTCCAAGGGGAGATAATCATGAATTTGTTAAAAATTAATGGCATTTTTAAAAAATCTTCTTCTCCAGAACCGCTGGGCCAAGAAAGATGAAACTCATGTGGAAGCATCCTCAGGTAGTGTAGATTCAAGTTTGTTCAAATCATGACCCCCGGGGCAAGGGTGGGGTCAAAATGGCCAACCCAAGTTTTACATAGGAATATATAGGAAAAATCTTTAGAAATCTTCTGCTCCAGTACCACTGGGCCAGGAAAGATGAAACTCATGTGGAATCATCCTCAGGTAGTGTAGACTCAAGTTTGTTCAAATCATGACCCCCGGGGCAAGGGTGCGGCCAAAATGGCCCACCCAAGTTTTACATAGGAATATATAGGAAAAATCTTTAAAAATCTTCTTCTCCAGAACCACTGGGCCAGGAAAGATGAAACTCATGTGGAATCATCCTCAGGTAGTGTAGATTCAAGTTTGTTCAAATCATGACCCCCGGGGCAAAGGTGGGGCCAAAATGGCCGACCCAAGTTTTACATAGGAATATATAGGAAAAATCTTTAAAAATCTTCTTCTCCAGAACCACTGGACCAGGAAAGATGAAACTCAAGTGGAATCATCCTCAGGTAGTGTAGATTCAAGTTTGTTCAAATCATGAACCCCGGGGCAACGGTGGGGCCAAAATGGCCGACCCTAGTTTTACATAGGAATATACATGTATATTAAAAAAAATCTTTAAAAGTCTTCTTTTCAAGAACCACTAGGACAGGAAAGATGAAACTCATGTGGAATCATCCTCAGGTAGTGTAGATTCAAGTTTCTTCAAATCATGACCCCTGGGGCAAGGGTGGGGCCAAAATGGCCAACCCAAGTTTTACATAGGAATATATAGGAAAAATCTTTAAAAATCTTCTTCTCCAGAACCACTGGGCCAGGAAAGATGAAACTCACGTGGAATCATCCTCAGGTAGAGCAGATTCAAGTTTGTTCAAATCATGACCCCCGGGGCTAGGGTGGGGCCAAAATGGCCGACCCAAGTTTTACATAGGGATATACATGTATAGGGAAACCTTTTAAAATCTTCTTTTCAAGTACTTCAAAGCTATGATTAGTGATATTTATATGGAATCATCCTCAGGTAGTGTAGATTCTAGTTTGTTCAAATTATGAACGCCTGGAGGGGGGTGGAGTAAATTCAAGCCTGATGTGCTCAGGTGAGCGCTGTGGCCCCTGGGCCTCTTGTTTTTTTACTATTAAACATTTCTTTTTATTTTAGTGATGAAGAAGTAGTCATTGTGCGGAGACAAAAAATATCCCGGCCATTAAGTCAGGATGATTTTGATGAGGTCACGAGTCATATCACAAAGTCACAGTCCAAGCAGACAGGTACCCCGGACATCACGTCATTGGAGAAGACATCCCAGCCGACAGACAAGTTGGCACCAGGAGGAACGCCATTAAGGAAGGTTCCGTCTATTTCTAGCGAGGGTAGTCAGTCAAGGGTCTCCCTCTACAAGAAGACCTCAGTGTCAACAGAGGGGGGATACCAAGCCAGTGTAGAGGAGGATCACAGCACCACTCACCTGGCTGAACAGGAACTTGTCGTTCACAGCACCACTCATGTGGCAGATCAGGAACTTGTCGTTCAGAGCCACGAACCCCTGATAGCCATTCCTGTTCACATTCCGGAAGAAGAACAAGTGGTTCAAAGCCCTGAAACTATGAAGGTAAATGTTGAATTTGATTGTACACATATGTAATTTAAATACAATATCCTACCTGAATACTCTTGTTACATTAGATGAAGTAAATTTGATCAAGGAAAACTGAATAAATTTAACTACATACAGTATAAGTTGTTACAAATGCCTTTGTACCCCCCGGTACTTGCACAATATTTGATTTCTACACATACATGTAGGTAACCAAAGCACAGAAGAAACGCAGACACCCAGCGAATCCCGTAGTACAGACCCCGGTCTCTGGGAAGAAAAGAAAGTGTCTAACAAAGCTAAGGATAGGAGGCCGAATCAGGAAAAGTTCCCCCAAAGAAACCACAGAGGCTGTGACCCCCACTTTGTTGACGACCCCCACCGTGACTACCACTTCATCTACCAGCGGCGAGGAAGGCTCCCAGATCAATATGACAAGGCCAAGTCTGCTGTCCGAGAGGTCCACCATCGTCCTCTCTCCACCACTGGCCCGGGCATCATCCCTGGAATCAGTGCTGGCTAAGCCACCTCTGATGTCCACATCAGTGACTCCGACAAACAGACCAACCAGGGTCAGGACAAGTCAAACAGAACCCAGGTTCAAGGTTCCACCGAGGAGGTCATCAGATTTAGATCAAGTATGTGAATGTATTGTCCAGTTTATAGACATGTGTAGTCCAGATTATAGTCTTGTAATTTAGTAAACTGTTTATCTTAAAATGTACTTAACTGGAAAAAAAGAAGCAAGGTCAACCAATATTGTTCATATTCAATCTGAATTTTGATAATTTTCATATTTAAGTAAATGCTTATTGATGAGAGGAAACTTATTTTTATTTCAATTTCCATTTTAAAACTTTCAGCAGCTGACTGCTTCACAAGACGTTGAACGCAAGACCATCATTGTAAAGGTCAAGCAGTTTGAAGTGCGGACAGAAATAACAGAAATCATAAGGCAGGGAAAGGTGGTGTCCAAAACCGAGAAGGAGGTATGTATCCTTGACAAAAATTTATGTATTTTTAGGTCACCTGAATAACTCAGGTGACCTATTGCTATCCGTTTTCGTCCGTCGTCGTGTGTTAACATTTGAACTTTTCAGCTTCTCTGAAACCACTGAACCAATTTCAACCAAATTTGTTATACCGCATCTATGGGTGAAGGGGAACAAAAATTTTGAATTTTATGGTCCCCGCCCCCCTTGGGCCTGAGGGGTTGGGCCAAAACCACTAAAATTATTGCTATCTTTAAAAATCTTCTTTACTCCTGGACATCAAGCAGACAAACTGTTGCCATGAATGTAATGAGCATTGAGTCCTCTACCAAAATTGTGAAATTCATGGCCCCAGGGTCAGGGGTTCTAGTGCTAGGGCAGGGCTATATAGATTATATAGTGAAAATGCATGATTTCTTTGAAAATCTTTTTCTCTGCTCCTGGGTATTATGTAAACTAACTAAGTACATAGTTATGATGAGCAAGAGTGCCTCTTCCAGGGGGAGGGGGGGGTACATTGTCTGAAAATCAATAAATCTTTAAAATCTGCTCTTTGGTATTTATCAACCATTTTATGATAAAATTTGCAAAAGTTTTAAATATATGGCCCTGGGTCAGTGGTTCCTTTGGGGTGAGGGTGCACAACTGGTTATAAAGTGGAAGTGCATTTTCTCTTAATGTTACTCTGATCTACCTCTGGATATTAAGAAAATAGAGTAAGCATGCTAAGTCTATAATCATGATAAGCAATGGTACCTCTTTCAAAATTGTGAATTGCAAATTTCATGGCCTCTGGTTTAAAACAGGATCCAATTTAATTGTTTGAAAGTTGTTGCACAATACTCAGGTGACCTATAAGGCCCGTGGGCCTCTTGTTAGATAAAGAATGTTCAGAAAAGTAACATTTTTGTCATCATACATGTAGTTTTCAATTTATTCTCCAATTAAGTACAGTAAAACACATATCAGAAAAGGATATTTTATATGTATATGAACCTGCCTCTAATTGCGTGACTTAATTGTAACTGGATAAAAAGAATTGGCAGATATTCCATGTATATCAAATGAAGCAATGCATTTTTTTGATGATTTGCTTTAACTTTTGTATACAGAATTGAGTAGAAATTAAAATTTTGTACAGATAGCAAAGGAGCCAGTGACCATTAAAGTGAAGACTTATCAGGAACTGGAGGCCTTGTCTCCTAGTACTCTGTCCCCCTCCCGCACAGGAAGTTCCTTGACCTCAGGCGACCTGGGTGACATCAGTTCAAGTCTCTCAAAGTCAGGGTCATCTAACGGTAAGGAAGAAAAAATGAGTAAAGGGTGTGCAAAAAGTCTTAAACTTGAGAAAAAATGAAAATATTCATTGTTCAGTATCCACTTAATATATAATTTTTTTCACTCTCTTTTTCCATTAAATAAGGTCACAAAAAACTTTTGATTGTAGTTCCGTCTTCGTTGAGTGAACATGATGTACCATCAAGGCAACCAAGCATCTTAAGTCTGGATGGCAGGTTGGTTAAAAGAACCAAAAAGTTAACATTTTCAGTTCATATGTAACTATGTTCCACTAACTCAAGTTCTTTAATTCAAGCACCCCCCTTAAAGGCAGAGATTTTTTACCGGGTGGTAAATTCCAGGTGAGGGAGGGGCTTATTTTGTACAGGTGTGAATGCCTTGGGGGCTAGCAGTCTACCAGTGGTCATCTGTCTCCTAATCCCTTTACACAGGAAGTGATTTAATACATAGTGAAATACCCCAGGTGTCAAACTTTACCTGTGTTGAGGATTTTGAGACAATTTGAAAATTAGTAGTAAAAGGGTTTTTCAATCATATATTGATTTATTTTGACTGTTTGATAACCATACATGCCAACTTTCCCGATTTAGGCGGGATTCTCCCGATTTTACCCTTTCATCCCGCCTTCCCGATCGGGAAAGAAAAATTTGCCTTATTTCCCGATTTGAAAAAAGATCACCAAAATTTTCGATTTTAAAAGTTTCCCTACCACTGAAATTTGACAATGGGGATAAACAATGTCAGACTTGTTTATTCAATGCACACAGATAAGTTTTATTGTTTATTCAACCAGGTGTAAATTAGGCCTATAGCCACAGGAAATCATTTCACGCTTGAACGCACGAAGTTGTCCAGGTACAAGTAGCTTATAGCTTGGGACAATTAGGGGATTATCTTGTCAGTTTTAAGGGGTATGCAAGATGAAACACATAGATTAATCTGAGAACAGTTAGTCATTTTATTAAAAACATAAATTAAAGACAATAAAATACTAATCAAACCATAAAATCGGAATCCAGAGAGATCGTTTTTTGAAAACGAAAGTAGAAAACTACAAAGCATAGCTGCTGATTTTATCTACCTATAATGAAAAATATTGTAAAGTTTGCCAGTTAAAATATTCTGAAAAAATTAAGATGAAACAATCAAGTGTATGTCAATTAGAATTTCTTTTCCCTCCCTTCTGCCAAAAGTAAAATGTTAAGGTATGTGCATGACTTAAGGAAATACCCACATGGCACCATCAAGCCTGACAAATTTTATGACTGTAACAAAAATTATTCTTTTTTGGATAGGTGGTATAAATTTCTGTAAATTTAATATCTTATTAGAATTTTTAATTAATTGAAATTTAATAAAAAAATCTCAAATTTTTTTCCAGAAACGGGATTTTACAGTATCAAAACCTTGTATATTTTTTTGCCTTTGAAAAAAATGATTTAAAAGTTGTACATTTTTCAATTTTTTACCAAATTATGTGTCATGGTAGAAAAAAAATGTAACAAAATACCCCTTCTTTAGTGAGAGAGGCACCTATTTTAGCAAAAATATTTAAATTTTGGAAAGAAAAACATTATTTTTTGTGTTAAATTAATCCTTAAAAGTTGTATTGATAAGTAATATCAATATTATAAATGTAAAAAAAAGATAATTTCATAATCATTCAATTTCACGACAAAATGTCGCGAATTTAAAGCTTTGAAAATTGTCGTCACGCGCTAAATCCCCCATGGGAATTTTCAAAAGTTGGCATGTATGGACAACACCCCTACCCATTTGAAAAAAAAAATATTATGATATCATACTCTAAATTCAAATACTAGTATTAAAACAAAGATAGTTTTAGATGTTAGTGGATCTGTAAATTAAAAAAAAAAACTGTAACAACCAAATTAGACTTAATTCATTCATCCCCAGGATCCCATCTTTTAAATGAAAAAAGAGCCGTGTTAACACATGTTACTAAAAAAAAAATCCAGAGTTATCATAACCTTAATAAAGCTTTGTCACCACGATACGTTGCTTGTATTGTAATTGCTTGTAAATTCTTATTTGATTAAAAAAGGAAATCATATTAAGTGACCCATGATTAGAAACATTAATTTTAAATTTAATTACTAGTACTTCACACAGCACTTCTCTGAACTTAATTAATAACATTTTCACTTTAGGTTTACCATTTAGCATATAAAAATTAAAAATCGAAATTTCATTTGAAAAAAAAAGTTTTATGTACCAAAGGTAATTTTTATTTAATGCATATTATATTATAATCCTTTCAAATACTAAAGGTATATTTAATTCATATATAATCTAAAAATTTCATAGTTATACAGTTTCTGTATACTATGTTCACCCAGTAAACATCAAAGGATCAAATGTTAATTAGAAGGTCACCACGAGTCCCAAACAAGGTGTTCAGGGTATACACAGAGACCAGTAAGGAAGTGTCAATCAAGTTCCAGCATCCAATGATGGACCTTCATGCACTTGATTGACAGGGCTACCCAGACCAGGTATTTTTGAAGGTGGTGCTTAAAATCTCTGCCTTTAAAAAGTAGATATTACAAAAAGCAGAATAATTTGGCATGTTTTTATTTCCAGTACTGAGGTATCACAGGTGATCTCCCCTGTTCTGGAATTACCAGAGCCCACAGACAGAGTTGTGGCACCCCCGCCCGTGGTTACCGGCACCACCACTCCAGTCCCCGCAGCTGCCTCTACAAGATCGGCCTCCTTTTCTCCTAACGTCTCCACTGGGTTCAGTATTGATCGTGCCTCTGTCCAAGCGGAGTCAGTGGTCAGTAAACCCAGCACTAGTGCAGGTGAGTCATGCTGCGGTGTGGTGGGAGTTTCAAATGTACTGTATGTGTACTTTAAAAAGCAGGCTACATATTCTAGTGGCTTTGGCGCTGACAGTGATGCAACATTTGCAGCACTATGGCAATAACTCTATACCCAGTGATTGCTAAATTTTGAATATGTCATTTATGTACACATTCAAGCATACTGGCCCACAAAAAAAAAAGCTTATATTCGTAATATTTTTAATCAGATTGTAACAGGAAGAGTTAACTTGATTTGAAAATATAGTAGATTTGGTCATGTTAATTGAAACAATTGCAAGTTATCTTTGAACTAGACAGTTATAATTAGTAACATCCCCAATATTCCTACCCCAGTTGAATTGCAGAGAGTATGTCCACATTCCACAGTAATCCATAATCCTCTAGGTTTTACTTTGTATTGTTAAAATATTTTTATACCCTCCGCAAACAAAGTTTGGGGGGGTATATAGGAATTACCCTGTCCGTCTGTCCATCCCTCCGTCTGTCTGTGCAAACGTGTCGGGTCCATATCTTTCTTATGGAGGGACATTAGAATCTACTACTCCATACAAAGATTGCCCATGACCGAAGGGTGTGTCATGACCTTGACCCAAGGTCATTTGGGGAAGTTCAAGGTCACTGGAAGAAACATTTCATAATTTGTGTCTGGTCTATATCTTTCTTATGGATAAACTTGGTAGGTTCTCATTTCACACAAAGATTGCCCATGACCCAAGGGTGTGTCATGACCTTGACCCAAGGTCATTTGGGGAACTTCAAGGTCACTGGAAGAAAATGTCATAATTTGTGTCTGGTCCATATCTTTCTTATGGATAAACTTGGTAGGTTCTCATTTCACACAAAGATTGCCCATGACCCAAGGGTGTGTCATGACCTTGACCCAAGGTCATTTGGGGAAGTTCAAGGTCACTGGAAGAAACATTTCATAATTTGTGTCTGGTCCATATCTTTCTTATGGATAAACTTGGTAGGTTCTCATTTCACACAAAGATTGCCCATGACCCAAGGGTGTGTCATGACCTTGACCCAAGGTCATTTGGGGAACTTCAAGGTCACTGGAAGAAAAATTTTATAATTCATGTGTGATACATATCTTTATTATGGAAAAACTTACTTCTGAAAAATCCAGCTGGGGTATTTTGTCCCATTTGGACAGTTCTAGTTACTTTTGTATCTGTATAACAAAGAAGTTAAAAAGTATATCACTGAGGGAGTTAGCAAGATTCCAATCCCCTCAACTTAAGCTATTTCCCTGGCCTTTGGGAAATGGAATCTTGACAACTCCCTTAATGATGTACACTGTACTTAAACTGTATATTTATACTTGATTTAGGAAAATAGTATATGTAAATACGGAATATTGTTTAAAAATTCATCAGTATGTCTCTATGTGAATGAATTTTTTGAAGGAG